ACTATAGGAACATAACTCACTAACTATAAGAACATAACTCACTAACTATAAGAACATAACTCAAACACATCGACGTTATTAACCTTTAAAACATTATTTGGTGAGCTGCTAGCATAGATAATAAAAGATAATTATCGTTATTAAAATTAATATTATTATTATTTGTATGATAAAATACCAATGTTACGGTAGTTTACGGTGTTTAGCGGAAGAGTTAAACTCCGGTCACCAGCTGACAATGTGAGTAGCTACGTTAGCTATGGTTAGCATAGCACTGGTTCCTGAACGCAGCACGCAACGACCGCGTACAGGACAACACCCGGTGGGGAGAGCACCGACAGTGAGTCCGCCGCGGCCCCGGGAGCAGAGACTCACCAGCCGTCACACCACAACCGGACCACCCGCTTCCTTTTCTCCGGGCTGCACACGGAACCTCCTCCCGGTTTACTGCAACCGGCTTCGTCTCGCTGGTCGTCGTTGGCGTGGTGACCGTTTTTGATCATTTCGACAGGTTCGGGCAAGTGACTGAAGTGGAGGTAGAAATAAAAACTACAGGTCAGAGTGTTTCACTGGGTCGAGTCCGGCTTCGCTCGAAGAATAGCGGTATTTGTAAAGGTCGTGTTGTCCGTCTCCGGTTCTCCAGAAACACCGACAGCGGCCAACGCCTCCAGCTCTACGTCACATCGAACGGATCCTCTCACGATGACGTGCTCATTGCATAATCACTCTGTCACGTGACCAGATACAACCTATAAACAAACCAGCGGCGTACCAGTACAATAATATTACTGTTTATTTAATTAACTGTTTAGATTAAACATACATCATAATAATAATAATAATATGTGGGCATTGCGCTGCATGAGCACTTTTTGTGATAATACTTAAGAATAATAAGACTCAAGAAGAATCTTTATGACCAAATGTTTTCTGTCCTGGGTGATGGACTCTTGAATGCAGCATGCACTTCAACCAGTAACAAGTATATTATTTTTTTACTTATTTGAATACTTCTTCCACCACTGATGAATACAACTAAAAGGTCAATTATTTTAGAATATGATCCCTTGGGTAGTGAGTTACAGTAAAACATCGAAGACAGAAGTTAATTCCTAAGCACACAGACACAGTACGTAGGTAGACGATTTCATATGCTTCAATAATACCAGAAATAGTAAGCATAGTGTCTTTTTTTTTATCTTTAAGTGAATAAACATTTGAAACACACAAAAACAATTCAGGCACGAAAGAGTACTCCTTCCACAATTAAAAAAACATTAATGTCAATTCTATGAATCAATTGTACTACAGTATTATAATATTAATTCACTAGTTAAAGCAAGGGCCAGTACAACAAAAATGCAGATTAACCAGACACATATCTTAAAATGAGGAACAATTTATTGTCTCACAAATGTCACACTTTTTTGCAAAATACAATGAAAACCAAGGAGTCTTCATATCTAGTTTCACAACTGGTTTGAGTTTTAGGAATGCTGAACATTAGCTTATAATGGCTAGTCTGGCATTTTAGAACTTCTGACACTGTGGTACAAGACAAGATCATTCATAATACTGGATGTTCCTGAGACAAATGAATAGAGACAGGCATTTGGATGTTTCCAACCACTCAAGTAAAGAGGCACAGTAACATGACACAAACTAATGAAAATCAAAAATCAAAAATCACCTTTCTTCTTAACTGCTGTAGACAATGTAGTGACAGTAGCAGTCTCTGCATTGTCTACAGAAAAAATGAGATAAAATGTAAACATAAGCAAATTCAACAACTTCAGTAAACCAAGGTGTACCCTGAGGATAAGTGACAGCAGAGTGAAGGTTGACTGGGAGTTCAGGAAATAATTTAAGTAAACCAAAATACCAACACAAACAGGCTATAAGGTTAAAAAAGTACATTCAACAATGTAAGTTTTAAATGTCTGAAAAAGAATACAAAAATACATGTAAAAATGTCTGAGCGCCTGAATCTTTTAAATCTCTTCTCAGTGAAAGTTGTGGCAGCACACAAAACGAAAATTAGCCAATGATATACTGCTGATGTTCTCCTGGCATTTGCCACTTAAAAATAAAGTCACTAGTGCTCCACCGAAAGGTATCACTTTCAATGAGCACATATACAGTAACACCAGTATTTCAGTATTTCCATTTAGTCACGTATTGCACCAATAACCAACTAGGTAGAAATACACATTTCGCTTAAATTTAAAGTGACAGTACACTAAACATCATATCTTCAGAGGATCATTCAGCTCCTGTAGGATGTATGCTGTTGAGTGTTTAAGCATACAGAGGCAATCAGAGACACTGATAATGCTGCAGGAGCGGTTTCAAAACAGTCTTTGGGCTTTATAAAGCCTTTTCACCAAAACATGTCACAAACTAGTCAAAAAGACAGTAGTGACTGATTAAAGCTGAGGACATTTTGTGTGTCAACAAGGAAACTGATTTCCCACTGCTTTTTGAAGCCTATGAGGGTGTGTGTGAGAGAGAGATTATAAAAATAGCCAAAATAATTTTATGTTGGCTCTGCTAGCCATACTGGGCACAGCAAGCTTAGCTGCCATAAAAGTAGCATAACCAGAGCCATTTTTACATCTTGCTGTTCCTAACAACTGTATAAAGTATCTTCATGGTGCAAAGTGCCATTTTCAAATGGCAAACACTCAAACACACACACACACAACTGCATCTGACTAAATCATACCAATGCAGTGCAGCAGTCTAAAGCTGACAGCCACACTCATCCTCACCAAGGAAGTCATCACTTCACCAGACCATAAGTGTCCATAAAGTTCCCTTCATTATGCAGCTTTTTTCTTCTTCCTTCCTTTGCCATAGCCTCGTCCAAACCAGCCGCCCTGTACAGCCGGGGCTTCTTCTGCCTGCTCCCCAGGAACAGGTGAACCATCCTCCTGCTCATTAGGGGGAGCTATGACCTCACGAGTACAGCTGTGGACCTCTTCTGGCCGCAGAGGTGTGGCGAGACTGAAGATGGGGTCCTCTGCCCTGATGAGACAGAATGAGGAAAACTGAGCTGGGAGTCAAAAAGTTGGACCGTGTGTTTGAAAGAGTGAGTGAGTACACTGGGAATATTCCAAAGTACTGTATAGTATTGTGTATGACTATTGCATTTGAAATTAGTATCAGAGTTTTTCTGCTTTTTTAATATTTTAAAGATGTTAATATTATTCATCCATGTGTGTATATTTGTTTTAATTCCTTCATATGGTCGTTACCTGTTGTACAAAGGAATTTGAATGTTCAGCTCCTCCATTAGGAGGCTCATGACATCATCACACTTGCCATTCATTTTCAGCACAGCCAGATCATCTTTTGGTGTCCACTAGAACAGAAGCACAGCCACACGATCAGCCGCAGAGCATCCACAACTGAACATCTTATTCAAATTCATTTGTATCTTATTCACCTAAAATATCAAAGCTAAGTGTACCTGGAGGTTGACAATGTAGAGTTTGGGTCTTTTGTTTGCTGCTCTGTTCATGCACCACAGACAAGCATATTTCTTCAGCACCTACAAGAACGAGAAACAGAGCCCACAAGTCATTAAATGCAAAACACATTAAGTATATCAATTCACACGTCAATGAATGTGTTTACATGAAAGTCCTTGATGTAAACAAGAGTAAAACAATACTCTGAAACTGCAATGTAACAAACTTTTTCATATTACCATTAAAGTGAAGTCATTGCAGTAAAGAATAAAGTCTGTGTAAGCACAATCAAATAAGGGATGGACAGAGTTGAAAATTAAGTTGCATTAATGAAAGGACATTTTACTAACTTTCATTATATACAGTATTTAGACTGTATCACAATGAGGGTGAGTCTCTTTATACCAGTGTGTCAGTTCTGTATTGTTATTGTTACGATCCATTAAATGAATTGCAAACATTACAATGTTTACAGACACACTGTGGTTTACAAAACTTACCTTCAGACTGGAGCCCAAACAGAGGATAACATCCGCCATGCTGGCAGCCTCTGCAGCTCCTTTCCAGTTGAGAGGTTGCTCCAGAGTCCCACGTTCCCCGAAGTGCACTATGGTGTCCCTGAGTTCGCTGCCACAGTGGTTGCACCTGCGGCCTGTGCCGTGTCTGTGCAGCGAGGTCCGCTCCGTCACGTCAAACAAACGCACATACTCCCTGACCGGGGAACAGGACGTACACACCTGGGGACAGGATAAAGGGGAAAAAACAGCATGTCATGTTACTTTCCTTGGGGAACAGTTTTCCAGTGTTACTTTCCCGCCTCTCTGCCTGCAACCTTTGTCTCAGTTGCTTTAAAGCTTCCCTCACCCACAGCTTGTCTCCCCTCCTTCTAACAAACTTTCAGTGGAGCACATTGTTGGTGTATTATTGATTTAAACTCTGCAGTTCGCTTGCTCTCATTGCTGTGCAGTTTTTTTTTTCTGAGCATGACAAACAAAGCAAACAAAGATGAAAAATAGATCAGACTTTACATAGCTGATACTGATCCATCAAAAAAAGTTTTGATTATTTGTTTGAGTCAGTGATTTGAAAAGCATGTGTGTGTCTCACCTCAATGAACATGTTTCCATGAAGCTCAGACAGGGCATGTCTGGGTAGATCGCTACGCAAGTGAAGTCCATCACAGTTCTGAGAAACAACATGCTTTACCTGTACAGACAAACACACACACAGTATATAAAAACCAGTACGCTTAAATACCATTTGAAGATCTACAAGTATACGTTATTTATCTTGGTTTCACTTACCAGCTTTTCCTTGTGTAGCATCTTAATGCACATGTGCGTGAGGGTCGGTTCAGCTTTACTCAGGTCAGACGAACTGTTTGTAAAGAGAAACAAGACGGATGATATCAGTTGGAGTTTAACAGACTTCATAACCCATCAGAGGTGACGGACTACTTTTCTCACCTGACTGTCCGTCCCTTCTGTAGCTGTGTCCACACCCCATTAGGGCCCCTGTAGTCTGGGATAGAAGCTGCCTGAAAGGAAAGACATCATCAGTCCTATGAAGGTTTAAAAGGGAAAAGGAAACTGAAGGTGCAGAGTTTTGCCGTACCGTACTGATACCGGCCCCGGTGTAAACCACCAGGTGTTTTGCTTGTTTGACTGCCACAGCGAGCTGCCTGACTTTACTTTTCAGCTCATCTGCATCATCAAACACCTGCAGACAGTACAGGAAAAATAAGGCATATTTATGTTTAAGACCACACACTTGTGTTGTATTGAGCAACAACCACAGCAGGTTCTTGTGGACCAGTGGATATTGTGGCCTGATGGTGGCAAGAGAGGAAAAGTCACTCAAAACATCATGATTCATCCTCTGTTACAGGTCACTGGGGGCCCAAAGTTTGTTTTTGCACTGGTGAGACCAGGCAGGTTACTCAGGCCATGCCTCTTAATATGCACATGTATTGTGGGGTGGAAAAAGTCAGTGGTGGAAAGGAATTATGTTTTTTTTGTTGTTGTTTTACACACAATACTAGTTTATACTTTAACTTCACATTTCAGAAGCAAATGTTGTACCGTTTACTCCACCACATTTATCTGACAGCTGTAAATGAAAGATCAGCTTATAAAACATGTCGTAGATTACACTGCACAACAGAATTCACATTACCTTCATGTGACCTGTCACAGCACTGAGATGATGCATACATGTTGAGGCACTAGTAACAAACAGTAACAACATACCACCATAAAAGAGGCCATTCTGCATGATGAGCAATTTTAGTTTTCTGATTATACTACTGTTCCAAGTTAAATCTTTAATGCAGGACTTTTACTTGTATATTTTACATTGTGGTATTTTTATATGTACTTATGAAGGTTTCCTTCCCAACTGTACATATGACTATGATTATAGTCTACTGTGCGACAGTCTCACCTCCTCCTGCTTCCTCTTGAGGACAGTTCTGCGGACTTGTCTCTTGCAGAGCTCCTCCACAGTTTCTCTGTGCAGCAGTAACACAGCGGCCTCCTCCTCCGACCGCTCAGCCTCCGGTTTCTTCAGGACCCGTCCAACCTTCAGTCAACAGGACACAAGAAGCTCATCAGGCTCCCCAGCTGCTAAACGCTACATGCAGCCTCTGCTGCTTTAGCCAGCGAGCATGGTGCATCTGTTGGCTAGCTGGAGAAACTGGCTGTAAATGTGATGTTGCTTCGTCTTACCAGTCTGAACATCTTCCTCTCGCTTTCTCGTTGGAGTATTTTGGCCTTTTCCAACGCTTTCCTCTCCGCCCGTGAAGATACACCGGTGTCTGCCTCCTCTTCCATCCTGTTTTAGATCAGCTGAGCAGAAGCTAACTACCGGTCTGTGAAACACGGCTCACAGCACAGGCGACCAACGACAGCAGGGGCGGAAGTTGTCCGCGTAAGCATGGGAGCAAGCGGCCCGCAGCGCCCCCTAGTGCTGGGAGTCAGTAAATGTTTGAATTACTTCCTATCCTACTTTCAAAGACTTCAGAGCAACTTTAAAGTGTTAAAAAAAACATTTATTATCAACCAAATACAAATAAATAGCATATAAAACAGGTAGAAAGTCACTAATAAAAAAAAGCTGTAAAGGTTTATCTGTGTTTTGGTTGACATGTGATCCCAATACTCAAGGAAAAATATTTAAGGCAACGCTTAGGAGTAACACTATTCAAGTTAATAGCAGTAACACTCAAATCTGGAGCTGGATATGAACACTGTATAAGCAAGCACACTGTCCTACAGCACTAATACTAACAGTGTTCACTATATGCTATTACATCTTTTTTGGTACAAATGAAATAGGCACATACATTTGAAGGAACATACAAATTGAAGTCCAAGTACAAAGCAGAGGACAATAAAAAACCCTTTTCTACAGACATTTTGACATACCATAGTAGCATAAGCACAGGTGTAATTAATAAATTTAATCATGGCTGCATTCCTGTTGGTATTTTAGTTCCATTCTTACTTTTCAACTTGTTCCCCCTTAAAACAACGACAAAGTCCATTTGCAACTGACTGAAAAGAGTCATCAATGCTTCAAATATTGACTTATTTGAGTTATTTTTAGAGGCAGGAGGAGGTAAAATCATCTAGTGATTCAATTGTGTTGAATATGCTGTTCTTCCTGTGCTAATCATCTGGCATCTACCTTGTGACCCCCAGGTTGGGGACCACTCGCTTACTGAAATACGTAAATGTAATCGAGCCATCATTAGTATTATTAGTTCACACCTTAGGTTTTCCTGTCACAGTGTCTGCTGTGAGTCACCTTTCAGATACAGTGCACATAGCTTTAAAGGATCAGCTAAAGAGTGTCAGTGTTTGTTTTTCTCAACTCAACATGGTTGAACTGAAAGCAGACATAGTAAAGAATTTATTTTACTGAGAGAGTGGCCGTAGTGATGTCTCATTCCCATCTATTCAATGTAAACTACTCTGTAATGTCTAAGAGTGGAACTGTCACTATATTACCCTCTGGTTGTAGAGTGTAAAACATTTCACAGCACACACTGATGTGAAATACAGTGATGTATTTATAGTGATGTATTCAGAAGTGTCAAATTTGGATTTGGAATCTCTCAAATGATTAGATATACAATATTAATGTAGTCGCTAGAGGCCTTATTAGGAGTCCTCACTGGGGCCAATTAGGAGAGTGTCATCGGGGTCTCGAGGAGTAAGTGCTCTTGGGGACCCTCTGAGGATTTGCTCTGAACTGTCCTCGTTTGGTTTCTGGCGGCTGCTCGCCAGAGGATCCACTGTTGTGTCCAGTCTTCGTCACAACTCCCCTGTGCCTTCCTGCTGCCTTTTTCTGGATCCTGGAGGGAAGAGAAGACAGGTCTTAGCCACTGACAAAGGTACTGCTTTGAACAAAAAGGAAAAGCGACACAAGATTTTCAATTCATTAAACAAAGCTGAACAGTATTTATTTATTTTTTTTAGCTGCATGCAGTATTACAGAAAAACCATAATTTCATTCAAAAAAACATATTTGAAAAATCCACCAATGAATCTAATGTGAACTGTAAATGTTTTCATAGGTCGGGTTCATACTGTGTTGTGACTGTGGGATCTTGAGCACTTGGTTATATTAATATCTTTCAATATTAGGCATGTCTTCTTTTCGGAGTTTAGGCATCCACTGAAAACTCACATTATTCCTCTCTTCCTCTCCAGTGACTTTTGCGTTGCAGCTGACAGAGAACTCTTCCCTCTGGGACGGCCTGTGTGCCCACTCTAAACAAACACATACGCACATATGCACAGAATAGATTAGTCTTTGCATTACCCACTTGGTATATTTTAATACATGTGTCAATAGAGAGGAAATGTACATAGAAACAGCACAGAATAAATATTCATCATTTCTGCCTACTTTATTAGATTAACAACATAAGTACTGCACAGTAAAAAATAAAGGAACAATGTTAGAATCCAGCAGACTTACCATAAAATGCTGGTACCCCAAAAGGGACAGAACTAAAATTAAAATGGTATTTTGAATTTGAATAATTAGAACTGCATCAGAACGGCTGTAATTAAATACTGATATTTCTGTGTAGTATCACCTGGCTCTGATGCTTTAACCTCACTACTGCAGGAAAAACCACACACATGGATTGTGGTTATGTCTAGATCAGGGATCATGGTGACTCCTGCTGCTGCCGCCATCCCCCTCTACACCCCTCTCTCCCTCTGAACCCATCAGTGGAGGAAGACGGCCACCCACCTAGAGCCAGGGCTTGCTCGAGGCTTCAGCCTTTTTTCAGCCAAGTTCAAGTTTTTCCTTGTATATATGAAATCTGTCCTGAGATAACTTGTGTTATGATTTGGCAATATACAAATAAAATTCAATTTAAATTTAATTGAATATAATCCTGCTAGTATCTTTTTTTTGGCATTATTTGTAATTTCTCCCCAACTAAAGTTAAAAACCAACACGCCTCCAATGTCTATGATTTTGTAAGCCCACACAGAGCTTTTGAAAAGGTTACCTGTCGTCTGTGCTCTCTCTCCCGGGCCAGCTCTCTGTCCCAGCTGATCAGCTGCATCCTCTCTCCGGCTGACAGGCTGAAGAATATGTCGCTGACCTCGTAACGTGCAGCACGCAGCTGGAGGGGGAAACAATTACAGAGCAGACGATGGCTTGAATGAATGCATGTGATCACAGTATCTGTTGTGGTAACTGCTAATGGAGGGAATAATTGCTCAGTTGGCAGTGTGGAAGAGAAGAGGAGAGAGGTTAACAGATGTTTACAACACATGTTGTCTTTTTATACCTGCAGAGTGACTCTCTCCTGCAACAAAATGTCTTGTCTGCTACAGAACTCTGCTCTGCCAGGGCTCTGTCGCTGGAGGGCCTGCAGGAACTGCTGTGTGTCCTAGATGTCCAAAACACACACACATACACTCACAGCTGTAATCTCTATGCAAGTGTTTTTTCATTTTATGAAAATAAGACACTGCCGTCTCTACTCACCCTGATGGTGCGCACCAGCTGCGCCACTCTCTCGGTCCGCAGCAACCTGCGAGTCAGAAAACCTTTCACGGCTGCCAACAGCAGGGGGCGGTAGCGCTCTGAGAGCGGGCTGGAGGGCTGAGAAAGAGGAGGAAGAGGGGAGAACGAGCGATGAGAGGGGTGAATAATGAGGACCGGAGGGGAAGAGAGAGGAGAATGCTAATTCCATCAATGACAACCAATTAATTTCCCACGCAGATTCTCAAGGTCTTTTGGTTGGCATCTGTTTAGCGCATCAACGCAAGTGGACTCACAGCGCATCATTATAATAGGGAATAATAAGCAGAATAATAAGCAGCTGATGAGCTGTCACTCACTTGTTGATTCCAAAGCTGTTGCATTAAAGGGACGTGTTTGTTGAACAACTATACTCTAAGTGGAGCTGAACTGCTGTACCTGAATACATATTAGAGAGCAGTAACAGATGATAGGGGTTACTGATGTGGATTAAGACATCAAAGGGAGAAGAGTCTGTTTTACCTGAGTGTGTCAGCTAACTGGTGATAAATAAAAATCCTGTGGCTACAAGGAGAAGCAGGACGAGCCTTTCGCATCACTGACATTAGCGAACAAATGTGATGGTAATACCTGAGAGAGGGTAGAAAAGGTCAACGTGTCCCCAAGACGTGAGCTTGACATGGAGCAAGGGAAGGACACGCTCTGGAGGAGACGGTAACGCACGGCCAACGCCTGAGAGAGAGACAGACAGGAGAAAGGGAGGTAGGAATGGAGAGTAGGAATAGGAGGAGCATGTGCATGTGTGTGTGAGCAGGCACACGTGCGTTCGGGAGCAGGCAAGGTTGGAAAATATTGAATTGGAAAAAAGGACAGCAAATGAGGCAGGAGGAGGAAATTAATTGAGGGTAGAGAGGATGAGACAGGAGGGGAGCGATGGGGCACAGAGGCAAGAGGGATGAGATGAAGAGAGGGGGCAGAGGAGGAGGAGAGGGATGACAGAGATGATGAGACAGGAGAGATGGAGGAAATTAATACAGCCAGAGTAAAAACAATGTTGGAGGAGGTATGAGACAAAACAAAGAGAGGAAAGGGAGGAGAGGGAAAAAAAGAGGAGAAGGAGAAGGAGAAGGGACCATTAGTGGTGGCACTCGACGGGACGATCTGGCACTTAACCACAGACGCTCATGAATTAAACAAATTATCCTTTCCTTTTCTGTGTCAATTCCCCTGTTCCCCTCCTCCCTCTACCAGAGTCCAGCCAGCTTGCTCTCTCATCACATCACAAATGATGGAAGGACAGAGGGGAGTCAAAAAGAAGTATTTTTATTAAACAGCTTATGTTAATTATATTGTTGTTAAGGATACATAAATTAAACAGAGACTGTGATTAATAGGGCAAGGACACTGGCCAAGTACAATACAGACACAAGCTGAAGGAACCAGAACTGGCTGCCAGAGAACAGCAGGCGTCCTTGAAGTCTTGCATGTGCACACACACACACACACACACACACAGGCGACCATGCCAGCCTGCCTCTTAGGGATGTAATGAAACATTTATGGTAGAATCCCTGTGTGTTGTTTTTTTACTGGGGAGAGTCTGAAGGTCTCTTGTAATGAGCAGATGTCTGTAGTCTGCCCACGACCCAGGTCTTCAGAAGCACACTCTAACAGGTAGGTTGACAACGTGTGTGTGTGTGTGTG